CACTCTGGGTGAAATTCTTCGGAGTGCTGAGTAGTACCACAAAGACGACATCTTTGGTTCTTTCCACAAATCCTTTGGTTATGCCACCCCCAGCACCTAGAGCACTGAACGACTGTAGAAACCTTGGGAAGGGGCTTGAAGAAGACTCTTCTTCCGAGAAGAGATGTTATATCCGGGATAGCGTGGTCTTGGGCCTCTACTTCTTTAAAGAAGACAGTCCAAGTAGTAAAGAAAAGCTCGCTAGATAGCGATTTGCTTGATATATCGACTTTTGTAGGAGTTACTCCAATTCGTTCCTTTATTGCTGTAGCTACTACTTCGGCTGTAGTTGGGACAAGGTTTTAATCCTACATTTGACTTCTATCCCATCCATTTTCAAATAGGCTTTCCATATAATACATCTACCGATCTAAAATTAGCATAGTAGAATCAATTGTAAAAAGATCTCCAACCATCACTTAATTCCAATCTCCAAGCCATTATAAAACATCCCCCTTTCCCCTTTCCCCTTTCCCCTTGCCCCAAGAACTCACAAACATACTAGAAGAGAACAAAAACGACAAAAAGAAACAGCTATTATATGTGTAAGCAGACGCGACGGAACGCCGATTGGCCGTTCATCTTAAACTGTTTTCGAAGTTTCGTAATACCCTGATTTCTTTAAAACCAAACCAAACACTCTAGACCCTAGATACAAGGCTAAGTATATACTACGTATTAACAAGTAGATAATAACTATTTATCCTCGCTATTTTTCACTTTGCTTTCTCGTTATTGCTGTATCTTAAAAGCACCGATTCATTCTTCTCAGCTAAGACGTTGAGGTAGAATTTCAAAGCCTATAAGTCTTATTAAAGAGAGAACTACTATTCTACTATCTTATCCTCTCCTAACCACGTAGAAAACGAGACGATATTAGCATGGAAGGTTGTATTAGTCTAGGATACGGAGCCTACAGTCCTGCTATATATACTATACTAAGCTAGGCTCGCTCCTGCCCTAGTAACGAACACTCGAACACACATATTAAAGTAAAAGTCTCCCTTATAAAGGAGAGAAAACACGAGGTAGTGTAAAAAATGATTTACTGTATACTACGTCTCATCTTATCTCTCATCTCATCTGTGTTTGCAATTGCCCCTTTTGCCCTCCACTCCTAAGCGAAAAGATCCCTCACAGCCTGCCCACCTATCCCGCATTCTAATACAAACAAAAAGCAACCATCGCCATCGCCATTCCCATCTCATCTTAGTCTTATTCTTACCCATACCTCACGCATCTACATCGTGCAGAGCGAAACGAAAACGACAAAAAAAAAGGAGGTATCTGTCCCTGGTGCTTTCTGCTTTGCGCTTTGCCGGTCCCATTGTCTATCCCATTCCCAAGTCCAAAAATACACAGAAGAAACGCCGATTTTTTCAAGCAAAAAAACAGACAACAAGAAAAAAGGGTCAGCTGCAAATCAGCTATCAGTTTAATATACACAATGTAAGAAAATCCGTAGAATCCTTCCGAAGGAAGAGACAAAAAAAAGCTTTTGTTGGTAATGTAGAGTTGAACTTCAATCCTAGAACCAACCAGACATGCAATAATAAGGAGCGTCGCTAAAGTGCCAAAGTCAAAGAAGAAACGTGTGATTCAAAATGAAATACGTGTACTGTCTCATACACTAATTACCGTTTGCAGTGGCGGCGTATGTAACCGCTCACTACCAGTATCAGGTTCGAGATTAGGGTGGTGTTTTTCAGAAAATTCCTCCTGAGCGGGAGTGTTGGGTCTTTCTGGGGTGTAGAAGACCGCTTGTTGTCGGCTAATAGGCCTGCTAAAATAGCCGTCTTCGTCTTCGTGTTCAACACGTGGTAAAGGGGTACGTCTACCATCCGAGAAGCTCACAGCAGCCTCACTGTCTTCACCATCAGAAGTAACAATGGCAGGAACGTTAGACCCATTCGGATGGAGTCTTTGACGAAGCTCTCTAAAGCTTCTCGCAGCGGCCGTATCGGTGCTGGCAGTAGAGTCTTGACGATGGTGAAATTCGATTGGCTCCGAAAGCATGGAGCGAAAATCGTCATTGATAACGGTAGATGAAGACGCGCCAAGCTCGTCCTTGTTCGCTTGCTTTCGAAGTCTCAATCGTTCTTCTGGTGACATACTTTGAAGCTCTGAGCCAAAAGTGATGACAGAAGCCTTTTTTCCGTGAACGACAAAGCTGCCCGTTCCGCGAGACAAGACATCATCTCTGTTTGCCTCCTCGGACATTCCAGCGCTCGATGAGGAATCCTTTCCCTTCCTGCTTCGATGATGAGTAGGATGGGCTTCCCTGAGGGTGCGATGTAGACTTCTGCGTATCTTGCCTTTATCGGCTTTCTCCTTCTCTGAATTAGGTGTTTGCTCTTTGCTTTCATCAACATCTGGAATGAGCGAATGCTTCCTGGATGGAGACCTTTCTGAATCTACCAAGCCGGCTTGCTCCAAAACCGCTCGCTCTGCTGCGTCAACTTGAGGGGAGTCAGGGCGATCCTCTGCAGAAAGCGACGACTTCAAATCAGCTTTTGAAGGAGTAGGAACCAAGCTTGGAGTGGAAGGCACGGAATTTGTGGTAATCGATGACTTACGAGGCCCCTGGCGAGGCTCGAATGTCATGGGCGGGAGCTCCCACGAGGCCTGTTGTTTATGGTAGCTCGAGGTACTGATTAGCTCGGGTGGCGTTTGAAAGATATCGTCTACTTGGCCGTCATCCACAATGTGAGGTGTTTGTGGCGGCATCGCAGTTGCAGGACGATTTGCCGAGTGGAGTGTTGGGGAACGGGGAATACGTTGCTGTGTCAAATTGCTAGCCTTTGCGTGTAATTTTGATACGACTGAGCGGTCCGCGGGTGATGGTTCTGGAGACGTTACTTCGGACTTCGGTCCAGCAGGTTCTGGATATTTCTCCTCTTCCAGATCCATCTGCAGGATATCTCTATGGCATTTCAATCGCCATATTTCCATCCTTCCCCATTTCAGCTGAGCAGCTATACGACCTGCAGCAAGTACAACCTGCTCTCTGGTCTTTGGCTGAATCGGTGCCAAAATTTGGAGATGTCGTGCATTTCTTAGCTGCGCGTCAAGCTGTTTCTGGGCAGTTTCGAGCTTCTCTTCAGACTCGGATATCTTCTGTTGCATAATCTCCCGACGCGCAGAGAGAATGTCTTGAGCCATCTTGTTGTCAATTTTGCCACTAACAATTGTGACTTCCCCTGTAGGAGTTTGTACAGATTTCGAAGAATCATTATGAGCGTCCAAACGGCGAATACCCCGAGCGCGTTGGCCGTCATAATTGCCCCCTACAACCCCACGCATTCGAACACCTGAAGTTCTAAATGCTGCCGCGTAGTTGAGCTTTGCAAGCCAATCATTCATATCATCCTCATTCTCAGCAAGGAAAGTCTCTTCAAACCCACCGTGGCGAACAAAGATGAAAGCATTCTTGTGCTTTTTGTAATCAGAGTCAAGTAGAGCAACAGCATCATCTGTTGACATTAGGGCATCGGGCTTGAATTGTTCGAGTGGAGGTTTGAAGATGACTGGTATACCATCGTGGCCCTGCTTGTTGTGCGACTCGTGCTGTTGCATCAAATTCTTGATCCAGTTGGTGTTGCGGAAGAAGTATAGTTGTGCCCCGGTAAGAATAGCCCCCCATTCCTGCCATGGTGATCTCGTCTTCTTCTTCTTTGCATCTTTTCGCCAAAGAAGGCCAACTTTCGTGATCTTGATATCGACAATTCCAGGGTGGGCCTCTTCTGGATTGGTCACGGTTTTATCGGACATGAAAGCATCCGGTCGTGATCTAGCTGATACGATTTGCAGCACACCGGTTCTGAAGAATGTCTTTTGCAAATCTTGAAGATTCAATGATGTAGCCGTTCCAAGGTAGTTGTAATGTTCTTCAAGATGCATAACGTCCTTGAGATTTGGTCTCAAGCTGTCCAACTTGCTATCGATGATGAGAGTATATGGATCTACAGGCTCTTTTGATGGTCGCTTCGCAGGATCTGCCGTGGCGCGCGGAAATTTCTTCTTCTTCTTGGTCTTGTGTTGGATTATTCGTTCCCCATTGATATCAAGATCATCTTCGACATGAATAAAAGGCGTGTAAGAAATATTGTCATAAAAACACTCCAGAATTTCATCAAATATACCCTCGCCTTTGGTGTTTTTCAAATAATCCGGCTTCTGCATTTTATGCTTGTTATTCTTGTTAAAGACGTCAGTATGAAGAATAAGAAGGGAAAATGCAATAAAGTATGCCTGATCTGGCGAAGCGTAAATTCCGGGATTGCATTCATGGTACCGGTTGGCAAAGCTTTGAAGACATCTATCAATTTGCTGTGTTTCCTTTGGCAATTCAACCTCCATAAGAAGCTTTCGAATCGCCATATCCATGGGGTCTCCAAAGAACCCGAAGCCTCTCATGTAGCTTCGTAGGACGGCCTGAGAGAATGGATCTGTGCCTTTTGATAACACACTCGCCACAACGCCTCTACTAACCGCTTCCTCGAGACGCACCAGATATTTCGCAGGGGTGTCATCATCAAGTCTTTCGGGTAAGATAATTGCAGGTTCTCTTGCAATCTGTATGGAGTTGTTCTTCGATGTGCTTGAACCGGGTGTAGCTAAACCCGAACCTTTTGGAAATGGTGGCTCAGAGTTCTGGCGAAGACGGGCAGAGAGGCCAAACAGATCACCGAAACTCTTTCGTCCAGTGGAGGTTGAAGTACGTCCGGAAGCTGGAAGAGTTGGAGTTGGCAGGTTATCGTCGCTCGGCACGTTACGAAGAGAACTTAAAGTGGATGATCTCTTACGCTGCTGACCAAGCCTATGCCGAGTCGGTGATGATATGGAAGAGGCTGCCGACTCCCTTCTCAACAAGGACGGACCTGCGGCTGGTAATGGCGTAGATGACCTTGTAAAAGCACTATGAGAAGGTGATGGGAAGGGAGACCCAAGTCCAGGGTGGTTTCCAACGTCATCAACGGAAGAGGGAGATCGCAACGAAATGACGGCAGGTGGCTCGGGACCATGAAGAGATGAACTAGCAGATGCTCTAGAAAAAGAATGTGACTGTTTAGGATTACTAGGCTTCTGAGGAAGATGAGACAAATCGAACAATGGAGCTGGGGTCTTCTTTCGACGAGGTAGTCGGAAGAATGTAGTGGTAGTATGGACTGTATGGGTGGTCGTAGTGGTGGTTGCATATACACCGTGATCACCGGAACTCCCATCGGATCTCGAAGATTCTGAAAGCCGAGTAATTGGTAGGGCCAGTGCGGAATTATTATCGTCTCCATATGCAGGTGGTGAACCACTAGCTGTTTGTGTCGAAGGCCGAGCTGGTTCGTCGAAAGTCACTCTGCTCTTGCTTCCAGCGGTTTCTGACATCGTCTTCCTCCGTTCCTTCTTCTCGCTCTTGGAAGTTTTCAATGTAGGCCTCAATGGTTCCTCTGGAGTGACATCTGTTGATGTTTTGATTCGTCCGGGTAATCGTACTCTTGATTTCTTCTTCGCGGGTTTCGATACGTTCAAATCCATCGTGGGAGCCGTGGTGATGATTTCCGGAGCTAAATGAATTCTTGTCAGCTCGATGTCAGCCTGGTAGGGAAGTGAGCAACTAACGATGTGGAACAGGAGGAACGTCGTCATCTTGCGCAGCGTGGAGTCGAGCTCTGGCTGACAGTTGGGGATCCGAGGCATGGCGGAATCGTAACATGGAGAACCGACGATGTTTCGGGCTATCATCCTGTATTGCGGGTGAAATTGAGCGATGCAATTGCTCTCGTGTGCTTTCGTCAGAAAATCGAACCGAAGGAGGTTGAGAGGCAGTCGAATCGGGTGCTAGGAACTCTGAGGCCGAGGGCTTGCGCGGAATTTGTTCGCTCGCTCTGCCATCAACATCGGCCGAGTTCTGGGAATTCTCTGCGATGAGCGCATCGGGAGAGAGAAAGCTGTGACGTCGAATATTTGCGTCGCTATTAAGGCCGCGACGACGCAACAGGCCTGGTATGAGAGGCATGTTTATATGAGCCCCATCCAGTCATTGATGGTGAGTTCCCAGTCGGTTGTGGTCGCGATGGGGGGGGGNGGGGGGGGGATATGGTAGTTTCGTGGTTGGGGATGCGGTTTCTTGATTTGTCTTGATTGTGAGACGGAGTAGGAAGCTGAATTAAGGGCTGGGAGGAACCCTGCTTGCGCCAAGTCCAGTGGAAGTCCGCTCAGATAGCAAATGAGTGACGAGAAGAGAAGGCGAATGGGAGAAAGACCGGAGAGACGTCCGAGGTGGATGACTGTACCAGTACAAGTCGGTTGGGAGGAATTGATGAAACTGATACGGAGTAGTCGTCTCGTGTCTGATCACCCCTCAGAGGTGGTGTTGACGGGAGTTGACAGACCTGCTCACGGAGGATTGATGTGAGGTCCAAGTCCAGTCCAAGTCCAGTGGTGCGGGTGAGGTGGGTGCAGGTGGAGTGGATTGATTGCCTGAATTTAGCCGTAGCGAGACTAGCGTGACTAGCGTGACTAGCGCCAACATCGAATACGACCCAATCAGGCCTAGACCCCTTACACTTGTGTACGCTTATCCACTCTTGCGAGCCTTGGAAAGCAAAAAGCGGCCGCTCGCTGCCACCAAGACTTTTCGACGTACCCACAGCGCGTCTGAGTTGAAGGTTGCGATTCTATGATCCACATTGGAAGATTGTGAAGCTTCGATTCCTCCACCCACTCCGTACTCGTACCCTCCGTACCATAGTCTATAGATTGCTAGCGCGACACTATTAGCGTACTAGCGTACTAGCATGCTACCAAGCATCGCAGATACACTCAGTGGTGCTAATCTCTACCGATGTCAGCATCCGGGTAGCTCCCCGGAAACACCATCCCGAGAGCCCGAGTACGGAGTCGGAGTTACACCACGCGGCAGCCTGGCGAGCCTGGCTTCTCCCCGGGCCTTGCAGCATCCCACCACCACATCCCGTCAACACCCACTTACCATTGGAGGCGTCAATATCACCACTTTTCTTCGAGCACACGTCTCGCATCCTGAACCGCATACAATTTCACATTGCGACGAGTGCGCTGTTGATGAAAATGCGCGATTCCCGCCTGCGCCCTCGACTCCTTCCCCTCCCTTTTCTTGCCCTGGTCCTATCACTATGTACTATTATCGATGCCTTCACCCTCCACTTCACCACCACTACTGGTAACCCGAATTTCCCAGCCACCCACCAGACCCAACCTCACCCTCACCCATCAGAGCAGCAATCTCGCAATGCTTTTCCCCAACTAACCTGGCTCCGAGATACCGCCATTGAAAAGCCAAGTTTGGCATCACGCCCGTCCAGCTATCAACTACCCAGTACATTGCTTGCCAAATATGGAGGAGATGTGGTTTTGCGATTTAACCTTACTACCACAGAACAGGAGTCCGCATTATCGGATGCCGCGGACACTTTGTTCTTGGACGTCTGGGAGTTTACCAGTAACTGGGCCGATATCCGACTGAGAAAGGAAGATGTGAGTATAGAATTTGATATACTTTTATATATTTTATGGCTTGAATTAATTATTACCCCAGGTTCCCTCACTTATGGGACTACTACCCGAGTCACTCCAAAAGTCGTATTCTCCTCTCATACTGGACTTGGCGGATTCGATTTATCAGACCTACCCTTCCAGTGGCCGAGCAGGAAAGCGACTTTCCTCCGCCCACGATCGAACCTTTACCCCAACATTGAAGGCCCGAGGTGGCGTGGATAACATATTCTTCAATGATTACCAACCTCTTTCCGTCATTGCCCCATGGATGCGATTAATGGCATCCATGTTTACCACCCATGTTCGTATGATGAGCATTGGAACGACATACGAAGGGCGTGAAATATATGCACTCCGAGTTGGTGTATCCCCCAATCTCCCACAAGAGTCGCCCAATCCAAGAAAGACAATTATAATTTCTGGCGGCTCGCATGCTCGAGAATGGATATCAGTGAGTACCGTAACATATGTAGCCTGGTCTCTTATCACTTCATACGGCAAATCACCAGCAATCACCAAGCTCCTACAGGAATTTGATTTCGTCCTAATACCAACCACCAACCCAGATGGATACGTATACACCTGGGAAAACGACCGTCTTTGGCGTAAAAATCGACAAGAAACCAGTCTTCGATTTTGCCGAGGACTGGACCTTGACCGAACATTTGGATTCGAATGGGCCGGCGCCGCAACAGAAAACAACCCCTGTTCCGAAAGCTATCCAGGCGAAGAACCATTTCAAGCCGTCGAAGCACATAGATTGGCCGAATGGGCCAGAAACGAAACAGACAACAATGGCGTTCGTTTCGTAGGCTTCTTAGATCTCCATTCTTACTCACAACAAGTACTCTATCCATACTCTTACTCTTGCACCGCCAACCCACCAAGTCTTGAAAATCTGGAGGAGCTGGGTATGGGACTCGCGAAAGCGATCCGTATTTCTAGCGGTGAACAATACAGCGTCGCATCTGCTTGTGAGGGAGCCATACCCTTCAAATCAGAAGCGAAGACCGGGAAGGTGTCGAGGATGGAAATGGGAGGCGGGAGTGCCATTGATTGGTTCTATCATGAGATGAAGATTCGGTATAGTTATCAGATTAAATTGAGGGACACCGGTAGTTATGGATTCCTCCTGCCAAAGGAGAATATTGTTCCTACTGGTGAGGAGGCTTTCAATGCCGTTAAATACTTTGGAGACTTTTTGATGGGGAACAAGGGTATTGAGAGAGTGGAGGAAAAGGTGGGAGAGGAGAAGATTGTTACGAATAAGGACGAGGAAGGGCAAGAGAAAGACAACGAGAACGAGAAAGAGGCTGGCATCTACCAACTCGGACCTGTGAAATTGGATTTGAGAAGGTGATAAAGGAAAGAGGTTTTCACTTACGTTCTTTTTTTGCGTCTTTTTGGGAATCGGGGGTTGACTTCAGCAGCATGGATGGATGATGGGTCTGTCTGGTCGTACATACAGTACTCTGTAAGAGAGCAGGCGTCTTTTCTTCGGTGTTTTCGGTCACAGGTATGGCTATTATTATAGGGTGTATGGGTCCGCATTTTGGTTTCTATCGTGGGCTTTGATGGGAGTTGGGCGTTGCTTTAGGTATAGTCGTGGGTTTTATGGTGGTGATTAGTGAATGGAGGGATAGGATGGTTGGGTGGATGGATGGATAGTATATAATTAACAGTAAGTCTTAAGGTACTGGTTTACGAATCGTAAACCGTGAATCTAAAATGTGAAGGAAGGTAATTTAGTGAATACCGTAGTATAATAATAACGAAAACATTGCAAGCCACCTACCTCCCTTTGCCCCTCTTTTTCTCTCTTACTTCCTAAGTCCTTTAATAGAAGAAATACCTAGAAAGAGGGAGAGGGAGAGAGGAAGAAAGGAAAAAAGGAAATAAAAAAAGAGTGTAAAGCTTTCTTCACTATAGAATAGTAAGTATAAGAATTCAATAAATAGGTAATCCGCTTTGATTTACTCTAGGCTAAACCGGGTAGATTCATCTACCATATTTCCTCTAGTTAATACTAGGTACTTGACTTAACTTCACTTCACTTTACATATATACCCTTTTCCCCTCCCTTCCCCTATCTTATATACCTAATCTCCCCCCGTCCCCGTCCTTCTCTACCCAAGAACAGAAGAACAACCATCTCCCTACCTATATATATCCCCTCTACATCCCATCATCCCCACATCACCAGGACAAGAAATCATTCATTTCAACACAAAAAACATGTAATCCATCCATTCATTTATTCATTTATTCATCGATTCTATCCCCTTCTCCCTCAATGCATTTACGCTACCTTAACCCCCGGGTCTTCACCCATGCATCCATATACAAACCCCCCTCCCCTCCACCCCAAAAAAAGTTATCAATACAACCTATAACAACGAAAAAAAAGCCAATCTTGATACTGTCTAGCTTATCTTAGCTAGCGATTTCCCTCAGTGGGAATAAAAACTCTCTGTTGAAACTCTATTGAAAAAAGAAGAAAAAAGAAACTGGTATAAGAAGAAACCCGAACCCAAGAATTCCAGCCAGCCCTTATGTAGGTAGGTAGGTAGGTAGGTAGGTACTGTACCCATGCACGCGTATAAACGAATTTTCAGCCAACGAATAGCAAACTCCCAAACGTCATATCTCATAAACGTCTTGTCTCATGAATGAACCCCCGTGGTAGGAACAACCCCCCAATTCTCCCTAGTCGAATGCTATAAGAGAAAACAAATTATAGGATAGTGATGTCCCATCACCCAATTTATGCAGTAAGAGCCGAACTCGCGCCCATAAGTGCCATTCCAAGGAATCCAAAGGCAATACACCAATTTCGGTTATGACTCAAGCTCAAAGCTTCCACAAAGAGCATGAGTGCAACACTTGTCATGATTCCAGCTGTGACGGCAAACATACATCCGTATAATCTCTCTCCAGGTGTGTGGCCATTGCTTCCGGCGACTATGAACCAAGTAGCTGCGATGGCGGCACCCAGGGGTTGACTGATACCACCAAGCATGGAAGAGACGAACATGGCGCGAAGACGAGATCCAGTTGCTAGGTAGAGTGGAAGTGCCATAATAAATCCTTCCGAGATATTGTGAATGAAGAGTGCCATGAAAACGGAAGTTCCAAGTCCTGGGTTGGCATGATTCGTTGCGTAGGTGATGAATCCTTCTGGTAGTTTGTGAAGTGCGATGGCGATGGATGTTTGGAAGCCAATAGCCATAAATTCATTTTCTGGAACATGATGATGGTGTTGTGCATCTTGCGCCTCCAAATCACCGGTGCTATCCTCAGTGCTGTCGTCGGTACTGGATATGATCTCTTCTTCTATGCGCTCGCGGGAATGAGATCGAGATCTGAAGACGGATGTGGCTCTTGTGACAGATCTTGAGACAAAAATCTCATTGCCGTCTTGGTCGAATAGCGGAGGTGCGAGAATAGTACCGCGTTGAGATTTCTTGTTTTTCATAGAAGACATTATACTAAAACATTCATGTCCACAAGGATCCGAGTATCCGTGACAAGGACCATTTGAGTCGCAATTTGTCTTTCTATCCATGACAAAGGAATTTACTCGATCAAGTGTAGAAGGTCTTCGCCCGGTAGAAGCGCTGTTTGGCCGAGAGTATCCTGCACCATCAAGTCCGGTGATGGAGGATTTTTGGAGTTTATTGGATACTTGTTCGGTGACCAAAAGAGGGGTTGATTCTGTTGCTTGTCCAATTTCTGTAACTTCTGTAACTTTTCTCTCATCGTGGTTATGATGTGTCTGATCCTGATCGTGAGCGTGGCCGTGGTGGTGGGTGTGCAAGCTTTGTCCAAGACTTCCGTGCGAGGGTCTTCTGGACTGGTGATCGTTTTGGTTGTCCTCGTGAGTATGATCGCAATCTACCACATGCGAGGGCATGTATTGATGAACAATTCTGGATATAATTTGTATTCCAACAAAACCTGCCATGAAAAAGCCCAGCAGTACCCAGGCTGCTGGCTTCGAAGCTAATCCGCTCCGTTCGAGGTATCGTTTCGAAGAGGGTAGGATGCCATAGAGAGCAGAGAATAACTGCCAAATCCAAAAATTAATACTTTGTTTTTTTTGTTTTCTTTTCTTTTTTACTGGAATGTAAAGGCTTACCATAACCCCAAAACTCAAGCTCAGCGACGAGGCTAAGAAGATAGTACTGTCTTGTATACGGAAATTCCTTCGACCCGGGAACTTTTGTATAATGAGATCGACACATATGATGCTTGCCCCAATAACACATGCTGCCAGATTCGTCAATCTCGCAGGATCTTTGAAATGGAGCCTCAACGCTTACCGACGCCACTAACGAGACACATAATCCACCCTCGAACGTCATTGTCTATCGTGATCACCATGCTTTCCATGGTGATGCAGAAGCTCCCTCTGGCTTCCGCTGCAGATAGCCTGCTTCTGCAGATTCCGTTGGTAAATTCTGTGTGTTGGTTCGTCCGAATTGTCGGGTCGCTTCGAATGGGCAACTGGAGGAGGGGTGGTTGTTTTGGTGAAAATACTACTCAAAAGTTCCCATCCACTTGATAACGCGGAGGAGAAGAGGGCAAGCGGATCGACAAGATAGCTAGAGGCAATGTTAAAAAGTGATTCTGGAAGCAAGTGGAAAAGGTACTGGTAGTGTAGTGGTGATGGTCGAAAGTATGGATGAACCGCCTTCACCCATTTTACTTCATCCATCCAGCCCGCATGCAGCGGGAAAGCACCTTGATGGCTCTTTACGCGGGTCTGGCGGGTTTAGCGCACAGGCACCGCCTCTGGTGGCCTGCTGCCAGGGAATGACTAACCAATTAGGGAAGTATGATTGGGCAGGAGCCTTTGACGTCGGACAAAGGCGGGGCACCAACGGCGGCGGTCAGTGGAACCGAATTTCGAATTTCGAAATCCAGCAGAAATTGTAGAAGTACTACGACTACAGTGAAGCTACAGTACGAGTACGTTCTCTTTAATGGTGATTCCGAAGTGGATTGCAATGCCTTTATTATACACGAGCAAAAACAATGGCTGGGAGAGAAGATTCCGGGATCTTTGAAGGGTGTGCCGCTGCCATTTTGCTTTCCCTCTTTTCATTCGCTACAATACCGGTGTGAGGTCATGAAGGCCAAAACGGTTAATGCGACGAAAGGGAATTGATCATATGGAAGTTACCGATTATCAGGTAGAGACAGATCTCGCTACAGACCACAGTAGACTTGAGATGCATGGCTAGAACGCGCTAGGCTTAGCGGGAATGTTCCACTATTCAAACATCAACCCTATCTTGAACTCTAGCCCTCGCCTAACCCTAACCTCACTCACACCACCCCGCGGATGGCTAGAAAAGTGTCCAGGGTCTTCACAAGAGCCTTTTATAGCGTTGTTGAAATGTGTTGTACTATGGTTCATTTATATTAAAATTGGCTGTGTCCTGCCTCTGCGCTGTCGCACTATTAATGAATGACCTGAGTATACATCGCCTGGACCGCGCGTTGCGTTGCGGCGATTCGACATCTAGGTTATAGCCCAGATACTTGTTGTACTCGGTATCAACCATTCGATCCCGTGGAAAACAAAACAACAAGCCATAGCTAGCTCTACCTAGATCTGTTTTGCAACAAGGGTTCTGCTTCTGTAAGGGACAAGCTTGCTCCGAGTCATGGCCCTACCGACAATAATATAGGACACTATAGCATACTGGCCAACACACTCACATCCTTTATATCACAAGGTACAAGGTCTCCCATCATAGCCTCCACACAATTCTCCCCCAGCCGCGTGTTTCCCATAATCCAGCAAACGATGTTGACAACAACCAGCCTCACTGAGGCTGGTTGTTCACCTCAGCCATCCCATTGAAAAGACCTCTGTTGTCGCCTCTTTATTAATCATTCGTTGGGGAATTTCACATTATCCATGACTCTCTGGAAGGCCTCTTCCTGAGATTCAGCCTCTTGAAACGCTCTCCAAGACTTTTGGCGAGAGTCGTTCAGATCGAAATCTGGAATTGTGTCGGTATGCGCATAAATTCTTCCTACGATCTAGGTTATCTGTCCCGTTTGTTCCGTTTACGAAGTCGCAATCATGTCGTTGGGTTCCTTGAAAACTATTGTCGTACTGTACTCTTTCTACTTTAGCGAGTTGGGTTTCTTGATTTTCAAACTCGCGATCTCGAATCCAGTCGATGGGCGCATAATGCTTCCACCAATCTAGGTTCTCTGTCCAATATACAAGTTCCATATCGCAACAACGTCGTTGGTTTCTTTGGAATTGCCATCATCCTCTCCTCTAGCAAATGATTCTAGTTCTTTGACGTCTAACCTCGCGATCGTTGGAAGATAGGCAGTCTTGCTACATGCGTTTGAAGTTTTCCTTCTTCATGTACAGTCATATCTGTGTTTCCGACTCTCTTACACTGTCAGTTGTTTTGTTTCGTGCAATGACATCTCTGGGGTCGTTATTATAACTGGCGGATGTTTGTTTGGGTCTTCTTACATCACCACGAACTTCCGCTGGCCTCATAGATCACATCCTTCTAAATCTTTGCGTATTGCTGCGACGATCGAGTCGTAGTTCCGATTAGGGTTGGTGTGTGGGATACTGTTTGAGTTGTATTGTCTCGAGTATTCATCACCGCTTGCTTGTCTCTCATTTACAGTATTCGACTGACTCAATGTTACTAGTATTACTCTAAAATCTAGCGAAGTTACAACCCGATCTGACTGTCCAATCGCTGCTATTGCTGCTGCAATATTCCACTCTTTCCACAAAGGAATGAAGTCTACCCAAGCTTCGATGACGTTGCAATTTGCTAGAAGGTGGCCTCGAATTATATCCGACGATAGCTCTGGGTATGAAACTGCAGTGCAGTCTGTCATCACCACGTCGCCGTGAACACGGCCGTATGGCTGCGACTCATCGCTGTTCTCTCCTGGAGTGTTCTGCGAAAGTTCTGAACTTCTGGTATAATAATCAGTTAGTAATAAGGGTTATTTTACATTTAATGTTTGTGGGTTCAAGGTTATTTAACCTTGCCATGCGGGAACCGTATTAATACCTTTCCTCCACCACTATCTTCGCAACAATTAAAATTGATATTTACCTTGGTCACTCTCTCCTTTCTTGTGGTCTTCTGTCTGGTTGTACAGTAATATCAAATTTAACATCATTTACTTACTCCATGGCATACACTCAAACTCCTACCCCTACCTCTCTAATACTAATCGCACGAGGAGAGAATCTGACACCATCTAGTATATAAGGTGTAAATAGTGGTATTCAAATTAAAGCTATAAAACTTAATTCCCGGGGTTTGAATATATTGATTAGTAAGGGAATACAGTAGTGTGTAGGAAACTGTATCTAACTATGTTATTTTGTGTTTATATACTAGTTCTTTGTATATAAATAGGAAATATAATTTGTAAAGTATTACTACTCATTTATTCCTCTTCTTATTTTATAAATTTATGCAAACAAATTATTAGAGAATTCGGGTATGAAATAGTATTCTCTAGATAAAATGTTCTTGTTTTTCTCTTTCTTTCTTCTTTCACTGAATTTTTACCTTATTTCTTCACTCTTCGAAATCTAATCATTTAACATAACAAAAGCCTTTCGAGCTTAACCTTCTAGCACGTTCCTCTATAACAACGTACTACGTAGGTAGATAGGATAATCTACCTAAGTTATGTCACACTACCCCTCGCTACCATCTCGCTTCGAGAATTATTTTTCCGAAAGCGCGGGGTAATTACGCCACCACTTAAACAAGCTTAATACTTTTCCATCACAAGCGGGTTCGAGAATGGGGAGCTGCAATAAGATATCGTGAAAGGAGTGAGAAGTACCTAGTTTCTATCCATAAGTAGTATACATAATATTCTCAAGAGTCAAGAACCATTAACGTACTACAGTATCCACCAATCTTCCCATTCTATATACCTAATATTTCGCTATAGTATATCTCAAAGATACATGCATATACACACAATGTCCCAACCACCAAAAAAAATCCTCCAAATCCTCTTCCTCTTTCTACAAGTACATATCCATCTGATCCTAGCACAAGAATACACCTGTCCCGTCGCCGCCGCGCAAGACCCCTCCATCGACGACGTGCCATCCATCCTCCACGCCTTCGAAGACTGTAACCAACACGCCGGCGGCCGGGCAATCTTCACTAATACGACGTACCATATAAATAGCATCCTCGACACGCAAGGACTACGGGATATTACTATTGAGATCCATGGGAGGCTTCTTGTACTGTTTTCCCTTTTCCCCCTTCTTTCTTCCCATCTTCTGTCTGAGCACCTCCCACCCATCCTCTAAACCCATCCCATCTCATCCCATCCCATCTCATCCCATCCCACCCCATCCCATCCCATCAACAAACCCTAACACCCCCCAGTGGTCCCCAAACACAACCTACTGGCTCACCAACTCCCTCCCCGTAGGCTACCAGAACCAATCCACGGCCTGGATCCTCGGCGGCACCAACGTGCGTGTGGACGGCTTTGGATACGGGACCATCGATGGCAATGGACAGGTTTGGTATGATTTTGTGAAAGGGGAGAGTAATTACCCCCGAAGACCGCATGGGGTTACGTTCCGGGGGTTGAATGGGAGTGTGGTGACGGGACTGAGGTTTGTGGGGAGTCAGATGTGGTGGGTGTTTTTATTTTTTATTTTTTGGGGGAGGGGGAGGGGGCTTTTGGGGTTTGGGGATTTGGCGGAGGGAGGAATGGGGGTTTGGGGGTTTGATATTATGTGGAGGATGGAATGGGGAGGGTAAAGGGGTGTGAGATAGACAGGAGAGCGGCTAATATGTGAGAGAACTCTAGGACAACGGGTGTGGGTTAGGGGGGTGAGGTTTGGGGGGACGGGGCATGCGGTGGGTTTGATTTCTGGAGATTTGATTTGTGCGTGGGGGAGGGGAGATGGAACTGATGTGGTGTTGCTTCTAGGTGTATTTCAAGACTTGGACGGGTGAGCAAGTTGGGTATCCGCCGAATGGAGGGGGTAGGGGATTGGGTTGTAAGTTTACCAGTCCTATTCCATTCTTCTCTTCTCTTCTTATTCCTTATCCCAGCTTGTTCTCATTCCCAGCTTTCCTTTTTATTTTGCGGACAGATTTCTCATCTTTTGATATAAGAAAAGATGACCCCTTTCTAACCTCCTCCATAACCGAAAAGATGCTCAAGACCTCCTCTTCGAAGACCTTTATATAAACGGCTCTCGTGATGCGCCGATTACTATAAATCAATGTAGTATGTATCTCTTAACTTAAATACTTCCTGATAACCCAACTTTCTGGTGTTCGAAATGAGTTGAGTTGAGTAGAGTAGAGTAGAATAGTGATACCTACTCTACTCTACTCTACTTTACTTAACAGAACAACCTACTCACCCAAACTACCCCTCTCCCCCGCTCCCCCCATCTAAAACAAACCCAGCAACCTTCCGCAGCACCCCAGGAAACTGCACCAGCTCCCCCTTCCAAATCCGCAACACCGTAATCAAGAACCTGCACGGAACAAGCACGTCCGAAAACATCGCATCCTTGAAATGTGCCGCGGTGACGTGTCCGAACATCACGATCGAGGGGACGGACGTGAGGAGTGTGAGTAGTGGGGTGCTGGTGGAGCGGTATTCGTGTGTGAATGTTAGGGGGGAGAGGGGGTTTGTTTGTGTGTGGGGGTGGGGGATGAGGGTATGTGGTGTTGGGGGATGATTTGGGTGTGGGGGTTGGGTGTGGATGGATGGTGATCAATGATCGTTAATCGACGCGCAAGTATCTCGGATTAAGACAACATGACAAGAGAAACTTAGAAAAGGAAAGAGAGATCGGAGGGAAAGAGAATTTATGAAATTCGTTTTTCAAAATACTCAACATCCCATATATTTTGCAAGAAAGAGAACCCATTTATAACTCTCACCTATCCAACCTCCTCCTATCCTTCTCCCTCCTCAAAGCAGCCTCCACAACGCCCCTCTCCAACCCAGGCTGACTCGCCAACGCAGGATCCAAATCCTCCGCAAGAACAAAATCCCACCTCGGCGCCGGAGTATTAATCCCAGGGAAGAGATCAACAGGAAGATACTCCCCAGAATCCATTCGAAAGCCTTCCCTCTCTTTCATGTCTACATCATAAACCTTATCAATCTGCTCCATGGCCTTCTTCATAATACTCCGCACTTTTTCCTCACACTGCTTTCGTCTGTGGACTTCAAGGATCATACTGTCGTAGGCTGAGTAGTAGTTTTCGTAGAATAGACGCATGGATTCTAGTTCCGAGAGTTGTTCTTGGATCTGAAGTTTTGCTTCTTCCCAGCGGGCTTTGAAATCTTGGCTTGCGATTATGTAGCCTGGAAGTCGGCTGCCGACTCCTTCAAGGATTTGATATGCGTTCGTTGTATCCCGATATGTGGTGGTGAGGGATGTTAAATGTTCTTGCACAGCTTCATGTTTACCTTCCATTTCATCGAGAAATTCCATCAATTCCAGTACTACGTCATCAACTTGTGAAGCGTCCTTTTCTAGGATGTCAAGCATAGCTTTCCTATCCTCTTCGGATAGGGGTTCATCGTCCGTGGATCCATTTTCTGTTGTCATGACCCCTGAAACGGAGACTGCTTCGGTACCAGGTGGTTGGGAGGAAGCAGCTTTTGCTACGGCCGCCCATCCACCTTCTGTATGCCGAATTGCAGTCTTGCAAAGATCGAAATGTTTAATAAGGGAGTCCATTAGCAGTGCCATTTCTTGGGCGTTACTTTCAAGGTTATGGATATGGTTGGCTAGAGGAGCCGATAGGTCATGATTGGATTGGAATGAACTGGAGTTGTTGGTGGCTTCTTTGAGAGCTTGGAGATCATCATCAAAAGATAAAATTGAAGAATCGAATTCTGCTTGAGCTTCCTAGATAGCTTGTCAGGGTGAATCCGCAAGACGTGAGAATATCCAGGGGTCAGTATGTACCTTGGTCTCCCGAATCGATTCTTTCAAGGCATCTCGCATGCTCTCAACACCTTGTTCATCCACGAAATCTAGCAAATTACGGGCTTCCTCTCCCTCGGGTCTAAATGCTGCCTCAACCATCGTTGAACGTAAGATATCCATCGTAGATTCCAACCGGGAATTCGCGGCGTCAAGCGTACGAATGACATTCTAAACACCAAAACCATCAGCATGCCCCTTTATAGCAATCGCACACAGAGCATCCTACCTTAAAATCCCTCTGGCCTTCCACATACACGCTCTCCACACCTCCTCGTACCCTCTTCAGAATCTTGACCTGCCCGGCAATGCCATTTCTCAAGAACCCAGTCTGCGCACTGAGAATCACACTCTCCTCCAACGCCGCACGAGCCGACTTGACAATCTCTTCTGCGCGCGCTACGGAATTGATGGAGGAAAGGGTGGACCGTTTGGATGCAAGGAGGTGCTGTACGAGCGTTTGGAGAGGGACGTCCTGGCCGGTCACCGAATGCGATTGGGAGTGCGATGGCGATAGGGAGGCATGGCTTCGACTGGCGGGATCATTGGGGGACGATGACATGTTCGAAGATGGATCCTGGGTTTGTTTGCGGTGATGTCCTTTCTTTCATTTGCTGAAATGCATCTATCCCGGATCTAGCTCAATGTTTGGAGAGGTTGTGCTTCCAGGCGAGGCTGTGGTAGGGAGGCTGATGGTTATGTAACCTTAATCTTACAGTACCTCTTAATCCCGGGAGTTCATCTGAACATTCGACAAATGTTCAAAGTTTGATTGGTTCTAATTTATGATAGCATGAGCAAATTATTTCTAGATATTTAGATAGGATTCAATAGGGAGAAATTGGAAAAGCAAAGTTGATTTGTTGTAACGGTGCCTCTAATAAGCCTTGACATCCTAATCATCCCTCTCAGAGGAATCAATACTTTGTCGAAGACAGCAAATAACTACCTAGGAATTATTTATAACTCTGGATATCAGTATAATATATGGTTTTGGAATATCATCTATTTGTACAACTATCAGTGCAACCAATTTTCAGTGCATTCACTCTGTACCTTACGTGGTCGATTCACGCCCCACATTCCTTGCTACCTTAACCCGTTTCCATGGATATTTTGAGCTATTGAGAGATGATTACCAATTACTCCGTACACGAGTGACATCACTGTTCCATAGTTGGGATCTCAAGAGCCGAAGTGGGAATATGCCGTCCTTTGGAAAGCATCCATCAACCCGGTGAACTGTGTACTCCGAACCAAAAGATATAATTTGATATTTATATGACCTTCCATTGACCGACAGATCTTGATCATGGGACAGCGGACAGCCACACCGTTGGGATTAAGTGGGTAGAAACTTTATGCAGGGGGTCAGTGAAAGTAAGAATCCTCATAAATGATGGGTCAAGCCGGGGAGTGGTAATGTTGAGGGTTTGTGAAGAAAGTTGATTGCGGGGCACCCGTAGACTATCGTTGCTTACCTTAACATTCGCGATGATGTGGAAATGCCGTGCTCTTGCGTTTGTATCTCGACGAAAGAAAACAAAGAACCGTCAAATGAGGGTGCGCAATAATGACAATGTAAAGCGTTCCGATGTAGGAGCTTGTTTGCTATCCCAGCCAGGACGCGGCGCATTCTTTGCAAATAACGTGATGATACGTGGTGATCTTGACTTGCACTATGCAGATACCCATCTCGCGTATGCACGATGTTGGATTTTCCGGATGCAGTGGTCCCACCCAGACCGGGGTTCCAATGGCTGTCAAGAAGGAAGCACAGACAGAGTGATTGCACATCGTCCGATAGGAGATTGGTATGATGATTCTTACAAGATGGGGAACTCATCCTCATACCCACCCCCAGATGCCGCTAAAATGCTCGGGGGAGATAGGCATTTACTTTGCGTATCTCGTGACGGATGCCGAGTGTGTAGTCCTAGAAAGGAGGGCCGTGGGGGAGGAGCGACATGGTCGCAACAAGAGGAGAAAATCTTGATGGAAATTCAAAAGCAATGAGTGACCGAGATGATGATGGGTAATGATAGATACCGGGTATTGTAGAGTACGAAGTAAGTTGCACTGCACTGCCCTACTCTGCTTCCCAAGCATTCATGATTCAGATCCCCGGCCTGGCAGATCTCAAATACAGACTCCGTAAGCAGTAAAAGATTTACGGAAGGGTGAGAGGGAAGCACGCAAGAAGTAGAAACGATAGCGAAATGCTCGCCTAAGGCCACAGGGCTGAACTTCGCCATCTCGTCCGTGCTCGTATCTTATCTCTAAAGCAGCGCACGATTTAGGCTCTGTTCAGCCAGAAAATATCGCCAAGAAATATCGTTGAAACCACGCCTAATCGAGACGATATTTGGCCTCCAAATCATGTAGGTTAGGAGTCGAGTATCTACTCCATTTAAAGGCGAAATATCGTTAAATATCGTCTAAAACAGGTATAGTGTCGGCCTATCCTTGTACTAAGTTTCTACTACTCCTTTCCCTACCTTTTATTATATCGTCGATTTTTAGTACGATTCTAGTAGTTTAAAGGAAAGAGTTAGAATAATCGAATAGATAGCTAGCGAATAAACTAAGTTATTTTATTATTAGATTATAAATATATCTATATTTAATTAGGTTATTATTAGATTATTTTGAGTAGTAAAAAAACTAGTATATAGATATTATTAGTATAAAAACCTATAAAATATACTTATTTTTCTATAAGATATTAGAAAGTTAATTTACGATTATTTCTTCTTTATTTTTATCTAAAATACTACTAAAACAAAGTTAATAAACTATTCTACTAAAGAGTATGGTTAAATTAATTATAAACTTAATTCCTAGTACTTTAATAATATTAATTAATAATATATTATCTACTTTACTAAAACCTTTATATATACTAGATCCGAATAGTTAACTCTACCTTATAGATATTATATTATAAGCTTCGAGCTAAAGAGTTATTTTTAGTACTAATATAGAAGTTATTAGGGAATATATACTACTAGTATAGCTAATTATACTTATTCCGGCTACTTTATTAACCTCTACTATAATCCCTATACTAGTACTTATTATTATCTCGAAACTAGCGGATTTAGTACTTAAAACTACTAAAAAAGAGCTAGCGAACTAATTAAATTAGACTAAAGAGATAAAGTATAAGTTATTTATTTAACTATTAGAGTTACTAAGAGTAAGTAAAAGAGTCGATAATAGTTAGAAGAATAAAATATAGAATATTATAGTAATACTATAATTATAAGTACTTTATAGTAGTAACTTAATAGATATAACTATTCTAAAGTATAAGTCGAAAGAGGGTACTTTTAAGGGTTTATATAAGGATTTTCACTTCTTATAAAGCTAATTAGAATTTAGATAGAATTATAAGAAATAATTAGTAACTACGAGTAAGTAAGTCTAGAAAGATATTATTAAAGTTAGTATAACCTACTTACTATACTCTAGAATCTACCTAATTTTACTTAGGTCTATCCTTTATATAAATAGTATAAAAATAACTATCTTTCGTATATAGATATCCTAGAGGAGTTATTCGATAATATAATTATAACTAGAGGTAGGGTAGTATCTCTCGAAGAGTTCTAGGTAGAACTAGCTATTCTAGTATCTACTTATTATTACAGACGATGATTAGATATCGCGGATATTACTTCTAGATAAGATTCTTTATTAAAGTCTTAATCTCGCGATACTAGTATAATATTATCTCTAGCTATTATAGTAAATTAATTAGCGGAGGGTTATAGTACTATTTCTAAACGAGTAATAGTAGAATTCGGATAGGATTGTCTAGAGTCTTATATAACGCTTAATAACTAGGATATAGTATATAATTTCTTAGGAAAAGAAAGGTATATAATTAAATACCTTAGAAGACGTCTAAGAGTATTAAGAGATATATTTCTAAGGCGTAAGGTTAGTACTAAAGTATTTAACTAGGTAGTAGATATAAGGTAAGATAAGGCTAGAGATAGTAATAATTAGTTTACTAGCGTAGTTCTCTTTATTAGAATTTAAAAAATATATTTATATATTTATTATATAAATTTATATAGTAGCTTAACTAAAATAGTTTCTACTTACTCGTTATATTTAAGAACCCTAATATTCCTAATAATCTTCCTATATTTAAGCTATAATTATTATTCTTAGCTCGTTTATCTCCTTGTATATACTACTTCTACTACTACTTATACGCTTCCTTATATCTATTATCCTTTCCTTCTTATCTCTTTAATTTATCTCCTTTATATCTTTATTACTATTATTAAATATATACTCTAAACCCTCTTGGAATAAAATAAAGTTATATAAGGTATAAATACCTATAATAAGATAGATCTATATATTAATTAAGTACTCCGCGATATAGCCTAGTATTCTAAACTTACGCTTTACTATACTAAAGATATACTTAATTATACTTCTTAAAGATGTATAGTATAAATTAAAGAGCTCCTTGAAGGTCGCCGGCTTCTTTTCTACTAATTTCTATTCCTTTAAGTAGTATCGTACTCCGCGGAATAGACTTATTATAAACTTAGAATTTCTATACTCTATATCTTCTAGGTAATATTTCCCTTTAGGTATCTCGAATCTATACCTTATTATAGCGTTCTAGAGTACTCTTCCGTTATACACTAACCCTTCCTACCCTAGTAGAAGATATATAAACGCTTTTTCGAAGTTATATACCGCGAGAACGTTTTATAATAAAGTACTCTTTTGATTATAATATATAGCTTATAAATTCGACGGTATATATATACTAATATAAGTACTATCTAGGGTACCTAAATAATCCTTAAAATATAGTATATATTAAGGGTTTTTAGTAATAAAAGGGAAAGAAGAAGTACTCGAATCTAGGAGTTTAATAACGTATAAATAAAGTACTAATAATAAATTAAGAACGTTATAAAACGCTTTATTTAAGTAAGTTTTTTTTACCTAGATTTATAACTAAGAACTTATTTCGAAATAGTTTTCCTAGTATACTAGAACTCCTTTTATATATTATAGTTCGAGTTAGATTTAGTATATATATATATATATATATATAAAGATAATAATCTTTTCTTTTACTAATATATATCGCTCCTTACTCTAAATAGTTAAATGTCTTCCCTTTAAACCTCTATATTATACTAGCTAATTATAAAGCTTATAAAAAGTCCTAATTAATATTTAAAGAACCTATTATACTTATTAAGGGTAAGCTATTTTTAATAACTTCTTTGTATATTTAGTACTACTACAACTAGTATATATACGTCTCTTAGCTAATTTTAGTAGTATAATAGGTATCTCTAACTTATTATCGCTTTCGAGAATTATATATATTAGACTAAATATTATAATTTCGTCTTTAGTAATATTATTAGTATTTATAGTAGTAGGATATACTATAAAAGAAGATAGAATCATATAAGTACGAACGAGTCTTAGTAGGTTAATTTATTACTTAGGACTAATATATTAATTTTACTACTAAAGACGATTTAGCGCTATATTCTATAAGTTATAATTAGATGGACTATAGGGTATTAAGGTAAGATATTAAGGTTATATTTAGTTAGAGTAGAGTTTAATTTAAAGGACTCGGAACAAGACTAAATTAAGCGATATCTACACTTAGCGCACTAATTAGGACGATATTTTGGATAATATGTAGTAGCTGAACAGAGCCTTAGGGAGTGGGAGTGGTCTCGTTAGTTCGTCCCGTCCACCTTGGCGGGGGGTGCCGCTTTCATTGGCTGAACCTCACCTCTAAGCCGCTGGCTCCCCCGGATAAGGTTCTTTGCCTCTCCGCGTCTTTGCCACGAGAGACGAGACGACCCTGACCCACCTTGGGAGGGGAGGCTGCAACCTACCTAACCTTGGCCTGCACCTGGTGGCACCAACCAATGCAACCACTCCCTTCCTTTCCCCCCCTACTAAAATTCAAAAATTCGCGAGCTGGATTCAAAACCTCCTCGCCCCAGCTCGTCAGACCGCCCAACCTGCTCAAACCAGACTCTTCGCGTTATACACATATACACACCACCGTTCTGCCTTTTCCGCTGCATTTCATCATTGACAGGCGACGGTCGCTGGGCCCCCCACCCTCCAATCCACGGAGTGGACTCGCGCACGACCTTGCCTCTCTGTAGCACGCCATATAGCGTAAAGTCACCTCAAAATACCCCCCCAACGCCTTCCCCTTGCGGCCCCTGGATATTCGTACCCTCTGGGCACCGCATTTCAGAAGAGATGCGCATCCGGTCCTTACTTACTTAATCAGCACACCCTGAAGCTTCCTGAATCATTACGGAATCATTGCGCCTCCACCGAAGTTCTTCGCGCCGGGCAGGTACCAAACATCCTGGTCCTCCCAAGACAAACGTGATGGCGTCAACTCCCCTCGAAGCCATGGCCCTGCGCCAAAGTATAGAAGTACCGATGGATCGCGCCGGTAGAGAGACCAGAGATACGACAACAGAGAGACCGCAACCCATCACTTTCGAGGACGAGAACACGATCGACATGTTGGAGGCAGGACAACCACCGTCGAAAGACAACTGCGCGAGGGATGGGGAATATAAGACCAAGGACTCGACTATCTCCCTCCCCTCCACCGACAAAGTAGCCGGCAAGACAGTCGCACCATTTCTCGCCAGGCATATTCCTGAGTCATATGCCCCGCAAGGAACTCAATCCAAGCGAAAGGATATATCGGAGAAGGATGCTTTGAGGAAGAACCCCAATACCAAATACTGCTACAGACATCGACCAGATTCCAAGTGTCGAAGGACTGCTGATGAGCCGACAATGGAGAACTTACAGAGGGTATGTGGACTTTGATCTGTGAACGACGAGCGTAACTGACAACTCGGTAGGATTTGGCAACACTCACTCATGCAGACCAGCAAGGCATATCACACGTTTGGTCTCTGTTCTCTGCGGCCCCGGCAAAACAGAGGAATCTTATGCTCCAAGGCATATTAGCCCAATGCTGTTTCCCTCAATTATCCTACCTTTCCACCACGGTTCGCGACCTCATTCGCATCGACTTTATTAGTGCTCTTCCTTCTGAGATATCATTTAAGATTCTGTGTTATCTGGATACCACTTCTTTGTGTAAAGCCGCTCAGGTCAGTCAAAAATGGCGACTACTGGCGGATGACGATGTGGTATGGCATAAGATGTGTGAGCAGCATATTGATCGAAAGTGTCAGAAGTGTGGATGGGGATTGCCTCTGTTGGAGCGAAAACTACTACGAGATTGGAAACGCCAGCAGCAACTCCGAGGGACCGGTCGAGGTTTAAATGAATGGTCACCTCGTCTGACGCCGGTACCAGATCAAAATCCAGAGACCGATTTAGTAAAAGTGGCGTCATTGAACGGTTGTGGCAAGAGAACTGCTAGCATTTTTGGCTCCGATAATCTGTCGCCTATTTCCCCGGAAACTGGCAAACGACAAAGATTGAACACTGAAGACTCAGTTATTGAAAAGCCCAAATTCCGCCCTTGGAAGGATGTTTACAAGGACCGATTCAGAGTAGGAACAAATTGGAAGTATGGACGATATTCCACCAAGATATTTCAAGGCCACACAAATGGTGTAATGTGTCTTCAATTTGATGATAATATGCTGGCTACTGGATCATACGACGCAACCATTAAGATTTGGGACATTGAAACCGGAAAGTGCCTGCGTACATTGCTTGGACATACATCTGGTGTTCGGACATTACAATTCGATGACACCAAACTTATCAGCGGTAGTCTGGATCATACTGTACGTGTTTGGAACTGGCGCACTGGTGAATGTCTCTCGACAATGTATGGTCATACTGGTGGTGTTATCGGCGTACATTTTGACGGAAATATCCTCGCATCTGGCTCAGTAGACAAGAGTATTCGAATCTGGAACTTTGAGAATAAGCAGGTGTTTGTCTTACCGGGTGGCCGAAATGGTCATGACAATTGGGTCAACTCAGTCAAAGTCGATTCCGCTTCCCGAACTGTTTTCTCTGCGTCCGATGATTGTACGGTTCGACTTTGGGATTTGGACACCCGACAGACCATTCAGCTGTTTGAAGGGCACGTGGGACAGGTTCAGCAGATTACTCTTATGCCCCCAGAGTATGAACCAGACGATTTTGAGCTGGAGGATGATGACGCTGCAAGTAGTTCAGGGAGCACATCTGATGCTGGGCCAAGCTCACCAAACGCCAATACGAATCCGTCTCCCTTTGAAGATTGGCCAGAAGAACGTCCCAGACCTGCCAGATACATCATTACCGGCGCGCTCGACTCCACGGTTCGATTGTGGAACGTCACCACAGGAAAGTGTCTGAAGACCTTCTTTGGACATGTAGAGGGCGTCTGGGCTGTGGCCGCTGATACTCTTCGTGTCGTCTCCGGGGCCGAGGACCGTTTGGTGAAGGTTTGGGACGCAAGAACTGGCAAGTGCGAAAAGACGTATACGGGACATGCTGGGGCTGTCACTTGTATTGGCTTAAGCGATAGTAAACTGATTACTGGTGGTGAGGATTGTGAAGTTCGAATGCAGAGTTTCAAGAGCGAGAATAGGGAGCAATCTTTTGATGGAGATGCGGGTTGTTCGACGAAAAGTACTTAGGTGCTTGCGCTCCAACGGACTGATCGTCTATTCACTTCCCGATTTTGAGGACGATGGACAATGTTTTGCGATGATTTTTTTATTGTTGTTAATGGCATTACTGCTGTGCAGGTAACTACCCACTTTTGCGGATTTTCTTTTCTTGCTGCAATTTAGCGAGCCATGGGGCTGTTTTTGTGCAATAGAAATGGATGGTATGGCATGGCGTGGCATTGCATGGTATGGTATGGGATTTGCTGGTTGGCGAATCACGGAATGGGAATCAATGAGTGGCGTTTTTATGGATGGATGGTGCCGTGCGTTGACCTTGGGATTCATGGAACTTGGGGAAGGGCATTCACCTGCAAGGAGTGAGTTGTGCTTGGTGTGTGTGTGTGTAGATCTTTTGATAACCAATCAATTAATGAAAGCAATTTCATATTCTTGAGGCCTTTCTTTACTTTATGTTTTGATCTGCTCATAAGGGATGATTGTGTTATTTGATGTATATTTCTTAGTGATATATCTGTTATGAGTAAGACTTATAGTAGTGTCGCTATATATATCGAGTTATTCACCAGGGCGAATAGGGGTAATTCACGTGGAAGACCTCGCTTGGTACCGCTATTCACTAATAATAGCAGTACCCTTGTAACACTTCACTCGTAATACACATCGAATAGTCTTTTTAATAGACACGCGGTGGACAAAATAAGCGGGACTTTTTTGTCAGTGCGTTAACATCACTAATTCATCGAAATCACACCTATTTTCATAGCGTACTAAATGAAGGTGTTATGAAAACACATGGGCAAAAAAGTCCCGCTTATTTTGTCCACCGCGTGATAGAGTACAGGACGTCGATTATACTAATAGTCTTGTACTATATTAACATTTTCATCGTTTGTCTCTTTGTCTCCTCTATTAACTTAATAGTTAAACTAGTAGCGTACGAATCGAAAGAACTACTCAACTACCCGAGTAGAGTAGAGTAGAGGCTACTACTCTACTCTACTCTACTCTACTCATTTTCTACGCCGTAAACTAATATATATATAAATTACCAAGGTACTGTACAATATATTAATCATATGTCGGAATGGTGACTCGGCTGCTGAGTTGACGGGATGACTGAAGTTGGGAAATGGATTTAATGGATCTGAATTCTAGGTACCTTGGTTGAGAGTTGAGAGAGGAGTATCTTGTTTCTTGATATTAATTTGAGGGAGGAATTGAGTAAGTTTGTTGGCTGGTGAGATGTTGTGGTTGTTTAGTATAGTGTTAGAGATGTACTCATTGTAGTGTTTAGGAGGGTTTATTTTATTGCGCTTTTGAGTATTTATAGTAGACTACTCGCTAGTCAAATCTACTACTCAATTTCACTTAACTAAATCACCTACTTATACTTAACTCTAAGTGACTCTAATGAGCCCTCGAGTTATTAAGTAGTTTATTCAAACGCTACTCTCTGTAAAATTCCTTAGTTTTGTTCTAGGAGTTAGTAGATTATGTTTTATCCTAGAAAGGTAAAGGTGGTTTATTAAAGTTATGTTATAGAATAAAATAGATGTTTTTACTACCATTTATAACCTTCCCCAACAGGTCTTATGGCCTATTTAGGTAAAGGAATGTTTTGCTACTAGAAGACGTTTGGAATTACGGTATTTGAATAAGATGTCCATAAAGATTCGCTCTTACGGTTACAGCTTATATCGTACTCTAGTTTTCTTATGTATTATCAATCAAAGAGACTGCCACTGTGTAAGACAAGAAATTCCTGAAGGATCTTCCCCCAGTACACACCTCATACTCAAACAACAACTCCCCGCCTCCCTCACTTCCCCCAATTGACCACTTAGTATCTTCTCTCAGACAATCTAACCCTAAAATCATGTCCCTTCCTAATCGACATAATCCCCAAAACAGGTCTCCCCACATCCGCTACAGGAAACTGCGGACTCCCCACCATCTCCACATCAAACCTTCTCAACAAAATCACTACGAAGGTAGTAACCTCAAAGCGAGCCAGAAACCTCCCACTACACGTCGTTTTCCCCGCGCCAAAGGGACGCCAGGAGGTGCTACGTCCCAGATTCTCTTTCAGCCATCGCTCGGGAATAAAAGATTGGGGGTTCTCGCCGAAGATGGTGGCGTCGAAGTGGAGGAGTCGATGGGGCACCAGCACGCGGTTGCCTGTGAGCATGACTTTGCCGCCGATGGTGGTGTCTTGGGTGATGCGACGGATGGATGCGGACCAACTGGCGAGGCGTAGTGTCTCGTGCCAGATGCGGTCGACTTGGGGACATTTTATAGGATCTTGGATGTATGATGGATCGATCAGTTCTCCGTGTCTGAAAGCGGCTTCTGTTTCCTCTCGATAGGCTTTCAGAAGCGTGGGGTTGTGGAGCAAGTATGTGAGTACCCAGAAGGCACTCTTGCGGGTACTGGTGTTGATTCTAGAGATGATGGTATCAGTTATTTTCGTCATCATTCTAGCTGGTGGGAGTCTTACACAAAGTACAGATGGAGCATGAGGATGGCAAGATTCTCGTCGTCCACAACAAGGGCTCTCATCTCCTCTTCCATGGCGTTGATCAGCCAAGCAGCCCCGTCGCTTCTGAGATATTTTGGTATTTGAAAGTACCTCGTCAAGGAAGAAACAACACGGGTTCGGGGTGTAGACATGTCGCGAGACAGAAAGTCAGGGTACTGATACAGCATCTTCCAACTCCTCTCATCAAAGTCCAGAAAGGCTTTAGGAAGCAAGGGATCGATTTCATCGAGAGCCTCCCCAACATAGACGTGTTGACCGAGTCGAACAAAAGAATCCCCGCACCATTTATAAAGAGGAACCTCGATATGAGTTGCGCTCCGAGACGTGGCGTACTTGCATACGGATTGCATAGTTCCCAGACGTAGAAGATGGTCGATGTAGATCAGACCCTGCTTCTGAAGAAGCATCAAGTTGTTCCCAGGGTTGAGTTGATGGATATGCATTTTCTGCGCGAGGACACCTAGGGATTCGCCTAGAGGATTGGGAAACCCGGGCTTGTCGACAGGGAGGGACGAATACATGACTTGAATAACTTTCTCATTGCTGCCGTTGGTTCTCATAAGGCCTTGAACGAATTCTTCGAACGATAATGTTTCTGTGTTGCGGTAGACTTCGGCGGAGTGTTTTGCTTGCGTGATTATATAAAAGGTTATGCCGAAAGCTGTTAGAGCGACTGGTTCGTTGGTGTCATTGAAGTGGGATCTAGCCTTGGAGTGAGCTTGCTTGATTAATTTTAACATATCATGAAATATTTCGTACCGTGCTTTTGACATAAGACCGTTTGAGTCTTGGAAAAAGCCCGGGCGTGTCCTAGAATGGGGATTTTAACATCAAGAACTTCATCCAATTCTTAGAAGAGCCATCTCTAACCCACGACTAGAGAATGAAGAGGTCAGTATTTCTACACGTCATAGGAATTGTAATGAGTCCTTACATGGAATCCAATAAGGATACTCCATTGGATATTCGGGGTATAAAAGTGGTGAGATTGTAAACCTCCAAGTACGCCATAGCATCAACGCAAGCACCAAAGAAGTTAAGATTTTCCCAGGAGCGAAGAACTCCGTTCCTATAAGATGCGTAGAACGAAGGTACTCGACGGTATTCGTCGCATTGGAAGTGGAGGTCATGATTCCGCGATGCATAAGCGAAACTACTTGCTATGACTTCAAAGAATAGGAATTAAACAGGAAGCTTCGCAGTTCAACTGGGCTCCTTGGAGATCCCATCAGAATATAGTGCTCTTTCCCTCAAATCACGACGGGTGTTTTCTTTCTGCCACCGTCATACTTGTGGTACTTCCTCCCCTGTCGATTCCCTAGCATTATTGATCATAAGGCCGCCAAACACACTCCGCAACAGTGGAACAAAGCAAGCTTAGAATTCCAGCGTGGGGGAGCTATCCATTAAAGGACAACGGGCTTACAAATTCCCTCTTTCACCCAATGAAAGTAGGAAAAAAGGGGGGATGGGTTGGCGGGGTTGCACCAATGGGACAAGGATCTATATCTGTACACTCTTGTCGCTTATCAAAAGAAATACTTGCCTATAGCAATTGTATTTGTCCGCCCTCCCCAAGGGCTCGAGAGGGGGAAGGTATCTCAAGCTGAGGCAGAGCTGAGTGGAGGACTTCCCACGAGTATGTTTAACTAGTAAATTCTTTCTGTATTTGTGCTTTACGTGTGGGAAGTGGCTGATGGCATATTACAAGTACAGTAGCTCACACCGGTCTCTCGGCTACACTCAGGGGCACCCTCATATCCCTAGCAAGTCCAACCGAAGCCAAACTCTTGAGAGCATCCTCACTCTAGTCTAGCGTAACAAAGTGAAATTCAACTACTTGGGTAGTTTCTATCAAAATGTAACTAGAGTATAAGCTAAATAGTCCAGGTAGCTAATAAATCGACTTTCCCGCCCTCGCCTAAAAGGTGGCTGAAGCTTTTAATGCGCCATTCGTACCTATCTTATATTGCGCTTAACACTACACTATAAATAGCAGAGAGACCCGCGGGTTTCAATTGCTGTAAATGTTATTTAGTATTTGAAAGCAGTTTTTAGATCACTCGTCCTCTCCTCTCCTAACCACTTAGAAGGTAGTAGTAGCGCTAGACTTTTAGCCTAGTAAAGGAGAGGATAACAGATTATCTAACTAGATAAAAGCGGATTAGGAGAGTGTAGATTGGGGAGAAGAGCGGAAAGGAGAGGCTAAATTAAGGTTAAAAAAAAAAGGCTTAAGAGACAGCGTAAGCGATAATACTAGACATTCCTTTTACTACGTGAGTGACAGTCTTTTTGCTACGTGAAATTCCTACGAAGTACCAAGGTACGCAAGACAGTCCTACGAACTAATACTTCGGTAACATTCCGGAATCCGACTCCCAGGGACTATTTAGGCTCTCCCATCCCCCCGCCCCGGGAATTAGGATGCACCGCCGAGCATTTGACAGTTCGTAACTCGACCAAAGGGGTATAGTATAATCTTACGCCCCTACCGAATCATAATTTCTACCTGTTTTACTACTACTAATTAGACCTACTAAAACCCACATTACTAAGCCTAAGGAGTGCTCCTACCCTTTCATATCCGGTGCTCTGGCGAGGATAAGGAGTACTAATTAGTTAGGAATAGAATAGGAAGGATAACTTACTAAATTTAACGGATAGGCCTCGGAAAGGAGTGCGAATAGGCGAGGACGGGAAAAGGAAGGACGGGAAAAGGAAGGACGGGAAAAGGAAGGACGGGAGATGTTAAACACTAATTGAAAGTTCGTCTAAAAAGGTATCAAGTCAAAAACTATAATTTCGCGTAATTTATATAGTTTTGTATACTGAAACTCCGTAGTACTACTATGTCTTCTCTCCTTCGTGGTACGTGTCCTACGAGGAATGTATTAGGTATAAACTAGGGCATGTAATGTGGTTTCTAGTAAACCCTATTTAAATATTATATTTAGTATTATATATAACTTCTATAAAGGTTAGGAAAAACTTATATAAACTTATATAAACTTTTAAATATCTTATTAATATATAGTACTACGTTAGAATTAATACCCGACCGTGAAATCCCTCTAACTTTCTATGTAAAAAGACACGCGTTTAAATTGTAACCGTGTGGAGTGAACCACTGCTTGCTGTGATGAATACAGAGTCAAACGGAAACTGCTGTATTGAGCGAACAACTAAGTGAGGAGAGAAGAGAGTTCCAGAGGAACGGAAGCTTAAATACAGGATGCCAGCGGCACGCACGTGACGTGCTACACGTGACCAGACCCCAGTCCCTCCAACTCCGTAACAGTACCCCCTCCTTAAAAAGAATGGAGCCTGTCCCTAGGCTCTTTTTTCTTAAAAAAAAATCAAACAAAAATTACACACTTGTAGCACCTAGGTCCTTTGAGAGAAGACGTGACCTTGAGCCTCTTTCCACAGTCTATCGGACTCCATCTGTCTCTGTCCTACTACTTGCTTGTATAATCCACTTGCAAGGTATTGCAAGCGCTTACTTACTCTCCTAAGGGAAGCAGCTCTTGTTCTATCTACTTCCATCTTCCTACGCCTCTAACTAATCGTATAAGCGAGTATGGGATGCCGGGTACTATTATAGATTTGCGAGGATTTCTTGAACTTCCCACTTGTTGTTACTAGTAACGTTGACAGGCGGCGGCTCTAGGTTATGTCGTGCTAATAGATAGATTCTAGGAAGCCTTGCGTAATCTGTCAGGGCAAAAGATAGGATGGATTCTCGCTAAGCCAGGTAGCTGGAGCCTGAAAGCGAGCTAGGCCTTGCTGTGTGTAAGTGTTGCTTCGCAAGCCAAACAAAGTCTCCTGCTCCAAAGTCTACTAGGCCTCGGTACGCTCAGTAGATCCGAGTCACAAGAGGCGTATCCCAGTCTTATGGTAGCGGTTGTTGTACCCTGATTTGTCCTTTGGAAAGAGTGTTGTTGTATATCCTTCCACATTCCTTGCTAGTAGTATCGTTCGCTAGTATTTGGTGGGTCTTCTGACGTCCTGGGTGCGCTGTAGACGCTTGCTTGTAGGCCTCGCGTATTAAGTGCGTACGCAAGTTCTAGAGATCAGGAACGACAAGGGGTGGAGTTGACGTGTAGGATACAGGGACCTCCTATGCTACTCTCTGCCTGTTGTTGGACAGCAGTGAGTGCTAAGAAGTGTGGTCGGCAGTCAGGATTCGGTCGATTATCGAGGTGTCCTTGGAAATAGAGGCTAGAACTAGAGCATCTTGGTTGTTCTAGAGCAGCTGTCATAACTGGCTAGTCTTCTTTGCTGGATTCTAGGCGGCTGTCTTGTCTCAAGACCCTTTTGGTCTATGTAAATGTGAAAGCGTTGAGAAGTGCGTTCGAGGTCTGACCTCTACTCCTTTAAGAACTCAACGATATGGTACCATAAGTATAATAATAATTTATATACTAACCTTTTAGATTATAGGTAATTATATTAAAACTAAAGACTTTCTATTATTATTAAATACTTTAACTATAAGTCTAAATTTCTTAAATACCTTAGAGGTACCCTTGTTCTTAATAGTATTAATAAATTAAGAACTAAATATATAAGTATCTAGTAGTAGTTAATTAATAGTAATAAACTTAAAGACTTTATTATTAGTTAATCTACTTATTTTAATTTATCTAGAATTATTAAATACTAAATATACTATACTATTATCTATAAAATATACTGTAACGAATACTCAAACTGGCTAACTAAACTTGGCTGGGTGTTCGCTGGTTGGTATGCTATGATAAGAAGAAGACTATCGGGTTGTTCACTTGGAAGTGAACTCGTTACTTGTATCAAAGATGTCAAACTAATATGATAAGATTGATAACTAAGTTGAGCACGAAGCTCTTATCTAATGGCAGACGTGCGAGTCTTATATAGAACCTTCGTTCTCTATGGATCATATGGATCATCATGATCCATCTGATCCGGCTCACACGGCTCATATGATCCTCCATGATCCAAGCGAGTCACGTGATGCTAATCAAAGGAAATCCCTGGATCGCTCAGCTAGCCTAAGCGTCCCTATTTTGCTATAAGAGCTTTCGATAGTGCTTAACCTGTCAGGTCGCCGCCTGGTCTTCACTTATTTACATGCCGAGCACGTGGTTCGTGACATATACCTAGTACTTTAGTTCTATAATATTACCTTCTTTATAAACTAGAAGTACTTTTATTATAGATCACTAAGAGCTAATATTATAACTAACTTTATAAATATAATTAGTAATAGAAACTCCGAAGTAGATAATATAAACGTTTTAACTTCTTTAAGAGATATTTATAGTATTAATATCTACTTAACTTATAAGTATAGCTTCTTTTACTTAAAATCCGGGTTTCCTAATAAAAGGATTAAGTTATTTTCGATAATAAGCAAATCTTCGATAGTAATAATAGTAATAAATCCTATTAATTTAGATATCTAAAAGGAATTGAAAAGAAACTAGGAGCTAAGCTTACTTAAAATAAACCTTAGCTATTTATATAGAATAATAGCTATTATATAATAAGTTTATCTCTATTTACTTATTATTCTTAGGTACTAACTATAATAAGTCTTTTATAAGATATAAGGATAGCTATACTATAACTAATATTACTATTAAGTATAATTAAATAAGGCTAATAGTCTAATATTTAGCTCCTTTAAAAGTACCTAATCGACTATTTATCTAGTCTCTATCTTTCTAAGCTATAATAAACAACTAGTAATTAATAGTAATAGTTATAGAGGCTAGAGAGAAGATAAATA